TTTAATATGCTGAATATAAGTTTTATACTTTGCAAACTATTGAAAGTATGATAAAACATCCTAACCCAACCCTAACAGCTGACAGCTGTTAGAAAATGCGCTTTTGACCGCAAGTCAAATGCGCATTTGACTTGAACATGCATAATTTGCATGCCGAATAAATGCCCCCCCCCCCTGTTTATTAAATTTCACTCCCCGTTTATTAAAAACCCCCGTTTAGTAGATTTTGACTAAAATCTCCCCCCCCCCCCCCCCACTGTTTATTCCCCCACCCCCACCCCCGTTATAAACGTTATTTAAAGAATAACGTTTTAAGATATAATTGTATGAAAAGTTATAAAAACGACTTTCAAGATGGATGCAAAATTATGCGCAAATGCTGTTGTTTATATCATTTAAACTTTAATAATAAACATTTTTACTTTAAACTTTAATAATATAACATTTAAACTTTAATAATATTTAAACTTTAATAATAATATAAACATTTAAACTTTAATAATAATATAAACATTTAAACTTTAATAATAATATAAACACAATTTACAACACTTTTTATAAAACATTTTATAAAGTCTATGATACAAATTTTCGTATGTGTGAAACAGTTGTAAAAACAAAAGACATATAATGTCCCTGGATTACAAAAGGTCTTAAAAAATCCTCGAAAATAAAACAAAAGCTATATATTAAATATTTAAAATCAAAATCAGTAAAACATAAAAATAACTATATCACCTATAAAAACTTATATGAAAAACTTCGCAAAAATGCAAAAAAAAAATACTACTCCTACTTGATCAATAAACATAAAAATAATTCGAAAAAAATCTAGAAAATAATGAAAGAAATTAAAGGAAAACTTAAAACAAATACAAATTCTCTGCCACATAAAATAAAAATTGACAACAAACTAATTAACGACTCAAACTATATTGCAGCTGAATTTAACAAATTTTTTACAACAATTGGAACTAAACTAGCAAACAGTATTCCGTATACCGACGATAAATCAGCTGAATTCCAAACATCAACTTCATCAAGTTTTCACTTTAATGAGCTAACTTATGATGAATTTGAAATTGCCTTTAGTTCATTAAAAAGAAATAAAACAACTGGGTATGATGATATTAATGTGAATATTATAATAGACTTTTGTGATGTTATAAAACACATTATTTTTAAAATCTTTAGAGCATCCATCAGTCAAGGAATGTTTCCAGACTGTCTAAAAATAGCTAAAGTATTTCCTGTCTTCAAGACAGGAGATCATACAAACATAAATAATTATCGCCCTATTTCAGTTCTTTCAGTCTTTTCAAAAATACTAGAAAAAATAATGTTCAATCGAATTTACGACCATCTAATTAATAATAAAATCTTATACGAAAACCAATTTGGTTTTAAAAAAAACAATTCAACAGAACACGCTATTCTCCAACTCACGCGCGACATCTCAGAATCTTTTAAAAAATCTCATTTTACATTAGGAGTATTTATTGACTTATCTAAAGCTTTTGATACCGTCAACCATCAAATTCTAATAAAAAAATTATTATCATATGGAATAAAAGATAACACCCTCAATTGGTTAAAAAGCTATCTTACAAATCGTAAGCAATATGTTTATAATAAAGAATCCTCGTCTCAAGTGTTAATGAATGTAACGTATGGTGTTCCACAAGGCTCCATACTTGGACCTCTTCTCTTTATAATATATCTAAATGATCTTCATAAAACTTCAAGCCTAACAAAAATAATCTTTGCAGACGACACAAATTTATTTCTATCTCATGAAAATATTAATATACTTTTCAACAACATGACAAATGAATTAAAAAAAGTTTCTGATTGGTTCAAAATAAATAGGTTATCTCTCAACACAGCTAAAACTAAATGGACACTTTTTTATCCACTCCATAAAAAACATAGAATACCTCATTTGTTACCCGAACTATATATTGACAATGTAATGATAAAAAGAGAGAAAGTAACAAAGTTTCTAGGAATCTATATTGATGAAAATTTAACTTGGAAACATCACATTAACATTATCTCTTCTAGAGTTTCCAAATGCATCGGTATTCTTTATAAAGCTAGAAACATACTAAATAAACGGCAGCTGACTCAACTGTACTATTCATTTGTTCACTGTCATATAAACTATGCAAATATTATATGGGGAAGCACTCAAAAGACAAAACTTAAAACTCTTTTTATTCATCAGAAACACGCAGCTCGCGCAATTGATTTTAAAAGTCGTCTTACTCACTCTGCGCCACTTCTTAAAGATATGAAAGCTTTGAATGTTTATCAACTTAATATTTTTAATATTTTATGCTTTATGTTCAAGTGTAAAGAAAATTTATCTCCACAGTTATTTCAATATCTTTATTCTTTAAAACCGAAAAACAAATATAATTTACGAATTGACAACAATCTTAATGCTCCTTTTTGCAAAACTAAATACGACGAATTTTGTATGTCCTATCGTGGACCTCTTCTTTGGAACAAAATAGTTTTACCTAATTTTGACTTTTCAATCAAACTAAACTACTCCTCATTCAAAACCAAAATTAAAGAAATTGTCTTTTCAATTGAAAACATCTTTATCTATTTTTGAGTTTTTATCAATTTATTGCTGATATATTATACTTTATTGTATTATGTTTTACTATTTACAAATATTTCCATGAGTTCTTTGCAAACTTATGTATTTAATGATTTGTATTTTATTACTTTTTATTACTGTGTTTTGTTAAACTTCATATTATCTTTGTTATTTTACGAATTTTTATAACTTCATTATAATATTACGTATTTATATTATATTATACTCGATACTAAAAAGCATTGTAAAGGGCTTCATGATAAGATCCTCATGATCTTCTAGAAGTCCTGCCACTAAATTTGTAATATGTTAAAATTTGTATTATTAAAAAAATTTTTTGGCAAAAAAAAAAAAAAAAAAATATATCATTATTAATTTGATTTTACCACTGATGGACCAGTATAGGCCCAATGTCTGTTGTTCTGCTTCAGCAAATCTTTGTTGGACCATTAATGGTTTTTTGCGGCTAGCTGGGTAGCTGCAAAATATAAAGGCTCGGCAATGTCATCGACATTGACTTAAGCAGTCGCATCGCAGTGGCTAGAGCACTTGCTTAAGTCAAAAATGGTCGCAACTTTTTGAAACAAGCTTCGTACCACATGAAGGAATATGCAAACTAAGATAAGCTAGAACCCATATAAAATTTGGTCAATTTCATACCAATAATATCACAAAAGATACAAGTCATGAAACATTTACGATAGATTTAAAAAAATGTTAAGACACCATATTTTGCTAAAATATCCAGTACCTTTTTTTTTATTTTCCTAAAAAAAATATCAACAAAAAAAGCCCTCCCAGCCGGCATTATTACGTTGTTTCAACGTTGAAATTCGGTTGAAGCGTTGATTCAACGTTGTTTAACTATGTCACAACGTTAAATCAACGTTACCGTTTAAACGTTGATTATTTAACGTTATTTCAACGTTAAATCAACGTTACAGTTTAAACGTTGATTATTTAATGTTATTTTAACGTTATTATTTCAATCATTGTTGACAAAAAATACGATATAAAATTTATGCGCGCGCAGAAATGGAAGTAAAATCGTAAACATTATTTCAACGTTTAAAGTTATAGAGATTTATAATGGAAAAAAAATGTAAATACTGAACTTATATCATATAGAATTTTCAAGAGGTTCAGATGATTTTCCTGAAAGAACATTAGTTTAAAAATCGATATTTTTTGTTTAACTTGGGCTACAATGCTTAAAGACTGATATTATTAAATGTAAATATAATACAGCTTTTTCAAAAAATGATCCATTAAATTATGTTGAATTTAATGCTAAGCGTTGTTTTTTAATAGAGCATCAAGAATTAAAAAAGGAAATTGATAACTTTAAAAAAGAACTTCAGCACGAAATAAAAAAATAAAGATTTATTTGAAAAATTAACTTCAACCACATCAGTTATTACTATGAAATGAGACAAACTTGTATATAAACATAATCCAAACAAATCGTGTTATTGCAATTTACTTGTATACAAACATTTATTTTAAAGATAATAGATCTTGCAACTTTTATACTGGCCTTACATCTGTCAATGTGTTTCATCAGTTAGTGCAGTTTCACCATTAATCAAAAGAGATAAAGTGATATTAAAAAAACATTTACTTCTGTTTTTTGAAATTTAAAAAAATCCTTAACTACTTGGACCAAAATATATGTAATGCTGCAAAGATGAATTTTTAATGATGCTAATACTTGGATTATTGACAGCTGATTTTGCTGACAGGTTTAATATATTTTTAGGATTAGTGAATGCAATATTTTCTTCATTGTTGAAAGCTTCTAGGTCACTTTTAAACCACATGGTTTTTGTTCCAAGTAAAGATGTTATAAGACAGGCAATGCAAAACAGATTTTAGAAATTAAATTATTCAGACTAACACTAAATTTCAGATATAACAGAATTTATTATGGAAACACCTTAAAATTTTGACTTACAGAAACTAACAGGGAATGAATACAAACATTACAACAATATAAAAACATTAGTACCCGTAGATCCAAATTCATCAATAATTTCTTTAAAAAATTTCTGAAGCTTACAGAAGCAAAATTTTGGATAAAAAAATTACATATCGCAACATTTATTTTGATTGTATTACAAAATACTCTTGTATAATGTATGATTAAGGCTTTAATATTAATTTTTTAATACAAATGAAGTGATTTTAATTAAATCCATTTTTATCAGTCACTTTAAAAATATGATGAGTATTTGTATAAAGATAATTAAAATTTCAAACAATAATATTAGCTTTACTTGTTGTTTTTTTTTAGGTGAATCAATTGCAATTGATGGAATATCTTTAAAATGCTGAGGTAATCAACATAATTTTTAATTATTCAGGAATTTTAAGGATTAAATTGTTTAGCAAAAAAATTGTTTGATAATGAGTTCAATTTAAATTTAAAAAAAAAATAATATTAGTTCTCGCACAATTAATATCAGTTCTCTTATCTATTAAAATTTAGAATATTTTCCAACAATTATGTCACCTCCATGAATATAAAGGGGAAAGGTGGAAATATGCTTTAAGAGCACTAATTTATACGGTGTAGTGAAAGGTATACCTTTATAAGATATGTAAAACTTTTTTATTCTCATTTTTTATATATTCAATAATTTCTCCTTGTGTTTTTTTTTTTTTTTTTTTTTCTAATTCTTTTTTATTAACAACTTCTTCTATTAAATACGATGGAGCGACTGAAACTTTAATTGATGGCATTTTGTCTAACTTCTAAAAATGCTCTTCATTTCGAAAAGGTGGCGGAAAAGAAAAAAATTTAGATTGATTGATATAAATTTATATTTATAAAAATCAATCTAAAATTTCTTTATTGAAATATTTACATATATTTCAATAAAGAAATATTTTCTTTTTGTCTGCTAATATTTTTTTTTTCAGTGTTAATTCAACATTACAAATTAAAACTCAATAATGAAAAAAGCCTAGAATTGAGTTGATGTTTTAAGTAAAATAAGAAAAGCCCAAAAAGTAACTGATGTAATATTTTTATTTTTTGATAAAAAAAAAATTCTAATAATGTTTAAAATTGGTATTAATATTAATGTTTATTAAATGAAGATGAGTAAAAAATAAGTAATGCATATTAGATGAAGATAAGTAAAAAAATAAGTTACAAGTTATTTTTTGGTCTTGAAAATTGTTTGAATGATAATTTATTATTTATCAAAATATTTTCTTTTTTAATTTTTGTTGTTTTTATATTTTAATTAAAAGTAGATATTATTGTGTCATATATTATAATATACCTTATATTATACTATTATATTTTATATTAATAATAAGTATTTTTGTTTTTTTGTATTTCTATTTTTTTTCAATATTCCATAATTATCTTATGTAGATGTTTATGTTTTAGCAACCTAGTATTCTTTCATTATTTGTCTTTGTTATTGAGCCTTAAGTTATTTGAACATAATATATTCAGAACTCTGCTGAATAATAGAGTAATAAATAAATTAATAAAAATGAGTTTAAAATATAATAAATTTATAAAATAAAAAAAATCTTATCTTTGCTTATAATGTCTACTAATATTATTGTTTAGCAAGTATCATGGTTATAAAATGTTCAAATTTAGCTAGTTTAATTAGGCCTGTTAGTACACTTATATTATGGTTTCTTCATTTTATATTAGTTCATGTAATTTTTTCAAAATCGAATATGCGGAAAGGAGCTGTTTGGAATGAAGATTTACAAAAAGAAGTAATTCCATCTAATTGGATTAGTGTTAAAACTGTCGGCTTCCAGGTACCAAAACATTGACTGCACTAAAATGCAGAGAAGAATTGGCTAAAGTTTATACAAATAAAAACTAAATTCTCTTAAGGTATTACATCTATATATTACATTTATTATTTTTTAAATAATGTGGTAAGAAGAGTTATTTTGTTGATACAAAATATATAACTATTTGTATAACTATTTCAATTCTAAAAGAAAGCAAACAGTATTGTGAAAATTTTAAATGCACAACTACAAAAGAAAAATGTGATAATGAGAATGTTGACAAGTGGATGCAAGATTTGCGCACAAGTGGAAACTTGGATGCAAATTTTCCACTTGTGTGGTTTGGATGGTTCTCCACAATATAATATATCTCCACAAGCATAATATTAGATTTACTTCATGTTTTTTTACAGATAAATCAATTACAGTTAATTGGTGGAATTACCTCATTTATAATCAGGGTGTCTGCAGCTCCTCTAAAATCCTCTAAAGTCCTCTTTTTTTAAAACCACTTCTAAAATCCTCTATTATCCTCTAAAGAGGTAAAAATTTGATCAAAGCTCCTCATTAATTCTTCCTTTTTTAATTTTTGATGGATGTATAATGTTCAAAATACCCATTCTCGGTCTGCAAAACTGGTTAATGCCTTAAAGTGCATGGAGTTGTGAAAAATTGCTTTAGAAAATGCATGCTATTTAACATAGAAAAAGACATTATTTGATCCCTGTCCAAGCCCCATAAGTGTATAACATGGACGTTAAACCATTAATAAATGGCCACATAAAATTTCTTATAAATATTTTATGTGGCCACCCCGAAAATTATTTTTCAATGCTAGAAATGTTTTATATTTTGATTATTAATTTATTTTTAATATATTAAAAAGGTTGTTTTATTTAAATTAAATATTTGAAAAAGTTATTTATAACCAACTAACAGTTATATTATTTTTTAAAAATTCAGAGTATTTTCAAAAAGTTATATGGCCTCCATGGATATGAAGGGCAAAGGTGGAAAAATATGTTTTAAGAACACTAATCTATATGGCGTTGAAAAAGATATACCTTCATAAGTTGTAACACTTTTCCATTCATTATTTATTTTTTAAATCTTCCCTTTTTGTTTTTTTTTAATATATTTTTTTATTTACAGCTTCTTATATTGTACTCAATGGACCAAAAGAATTTGACTTTCTAAATTACGCTTTATTTTAAAAAGGTGGTGGAAAAGAGAAGAAATTTGTGTAGATTTTATTCAATTACATGTAAATATATGTAATATTTGAATATGTATTTTTGAATAAAACAAGTTTTATCTCTTTCTTTAATCATACCTAGCTATTTTAACTAAACTAAACTGAAAAAGTTCTAAATAGTCTAAGTATAGACTATGAATAGATTTAATATCCATAATATACCTTGATAATGTACAGCAACGCTAATGTACATGCATAGTACGTTTTGATGATGATCATATTTTGACGCACATAGCACGTTTACATACATATATACATTTTGACATACATAGCACGTTTTGATAGTGAAAAAGTATTTTACAGTCGTTTAACGTTGATAAATCAACGTTAAAAAAAACTATCATTTTAAACGTTGTATCAACGTAAATTCAACGTTGTTGTAACGTTTTTTCGCGTCGAATTAACGTTGATATAACGTTTGAATCTAACGTTGATTTAACGTTGATAAATCAACGTTGAAAAAAACTTTCATTCTAAACGTTAAATCAACGTAAATTCAACGTTATTGTAACGTTTTTTCGCGTCGAATCAGCGTTGATATAACGTTTGAACCTAACGTTGATTTAACGTTGATTAATCAACGTTGAAAAAAACTTTCATTCTAATCGTTAAACCAACGTTAATTCAACGTTAGGTTTCAACGATATTTCAACGTTATTTGCCGGCTGGGCTGCAACGAAACTAGTAGGCCTTGAGCATTTTTTTATGTCATGCAAAAAAAAATTGGTTTTGAATAAATCTTTAGTAATTCGTCATTTTTTAGATATCTTTACACATCAAAATATACCAAAAATACATTTTTCAGATATCTACGCATCAAAATATATAAACAATAGAGAAACGTTAATCCCATTTTAACGGTAATACGTTTTAACGTTAAACGGAAATCGTAAACAATTTTTTAACGTTTAAGGTGAAATTTTTAACATATGTAAAATTTCTAATAAATTTGTAATAAGTAAAGAATAAAATTATTAAAAAAAAAATTGCCTCTTTTGAATGAGATAAAAAATATTTGTTTTGTATTTTTATACCTAATCAAAATATCATAAAAATTCAATTAAATTTGGTGGTATGTTGTTTTGGTTTTCATAGTAGACAAGTACATTGTTTTAAAATTATTCTTGTTTATTTATTATGTTTGTAAAGCAATCGGACAATATAAAAATAACTATAAATATATATTTTTTGAGGCGTCTAAATACCTAATGTAATAATTTATTAAATACATAATAAATAATGAAATATATTTTTCTTTTACTTCAATATTAATATATTATTTGTAATGCAAACATCATGTTTTAAATGGTGAACTATTTTAATAAGTAATCAAAACATAAACGTTTTTTTTTTAATCCTCTTCGATGAATGGAATCAAATTCTATCCTTTTAGAGCTGTTGCTAAGCAATGATTTCAACATTTACTTAAAATAAACAAGTTAACAAAAATATTTCTTGTAAATTACAAATCCATTCACTGTCTTAAACCGTTACAAGAAGGTTTTTACATTATTAAAGCCACTTTATCTTTTAAAATTGCGCACCTTTTCATTAGAAAGCTATTGATAACGGTATAATATATAAAATTGCAATTTTTGGAAAATGCTTTTAAGCTGACCAGTTTTTTAATTATTATTGCCTTAATAATAATAACAATATTAATAATAATAATAATAATAATAATAATAATAATAACAATAATAATAATAGCAATAATAATAATAATAATAATAATAATAATAATAATATGTTACTTTTTTGTTTTTGTTTAAATGTGTAGTTAAATTTGTTTGTTTCAAATCTTATCTATTATGGTGTGATACAGATGTGACACAGGGTTACCCCTAATGTAAGACGTTGTTACATTCTTGCTACACAACGGCAAACAGTCTTTAACAATTGGGCGTACAAGTATGCGCAGATGTTTTTTTATTTTAAAAGGCAGCTGAACAAAGAAAACAAAACAAAAAGTTACAAAACATTTAGAATGGCCGTATATAATATCTGCACACATTCCATACGGTATAATAAAAAATTTCGTAGTTGTTTGTTTTATATAAATAAGGTTAAACATAAAAAGTTTTCAACTTTTTAATAATAAAAGAAAATGTTTGCATAAAATAAAAATTCTACTACGGGTTACCGTTTCTTTACTATTGGTTGCCATTTCAACAGTCGCCATTGTCTATTGTCTTAAATAATACTTTTAAATCATTCAAATATTCCAATCCTAATTATTGCAATTATTGATTCCAATAAAACACATTGAGTCTTGTTTTAAAAATAAAACAATGCGCATCGCTTTTATCAATAATATTTTTAAGGAAATTCTGAATTGGTATACTTAATACCGTTTTCTTAATACTTTTACATCGGTATACTATTCAATTTCTTTGGAATACTATTCTATATCATACGAATATTATTCTACTTCATCGGCATACTATTCTATTTTATAATAACTTAAAGTAGACTACAACCTTTTAGCACTTTTATAGATTTAAAGTTGCATTTTAGTATGTTGCGTCTTTACCATACGTAATCGATATTAAAAACATATTTAAACTTCATCTGGTTTGTGTGAAACTGCCTTTAGAAAGATTAATAAAAACTTCCTCATTTACACTGATTGTAATGGGTTCCATAATTTCATCTGCGTTTCTGAAAAAACATAACAGTTTTAAGTTATTGAAACAATTTCGCAGTAAGTTTTGAGTTTGAGGAGATATATAAATATATATCAAAGCATCAGTCCAAAGACAGATCGGAAAACAAAGTAAAGTATACTTTTTTACATTTATGAATTTTTTGTTTTCTGGCAATAAATTTAAAATATTAGGAATAACAACTAACGTAATATGCGTCATGACAATAATAAATGAAACAAGTAATCCTTTTGATATATTTCCACGGGTTTGGCTTGACATAAGCTTCTTCCTCTGTTTTATTAACAATATAATAGCATACGAGTAAACAAGACATGAAAACCATACAAAAATTAAATCGAGAATAAAATAAATAAGCCAAATTGTTAATCCAGAATGCATCCAAAAATTGTTCCATAAAACTCCAGCAATAACAGAGCAGCACCATAAAACAAACTGCATAACGATTGTTTTCTTTTTTGAAAAAAAAACGACATACTTAAAAGTAAACTCTATGTGCAAGTATCTATCTAAAACAAGCCATAACGTTACCAAGTAGTACTCAAATCGAAAAATATCCACTAATATCTCTACAACTTTTTCTAGTTTTTGGTTTGAGATATTAAAATAGTATGTTGTAAGAATAATACTTAAACTAAAATCACACATACAAAGATTGACAATTATGAGTCTTTGAGTAAAGTCCATTTTCGATTTCCTCACCATACCCAAAAGTAGTAAAGCTGCTCCATTCAAAATTGAAGCCAAGATATAGCATGATCTCACTAAATTAAGAAACTGCGTCATCCTGAAACTTTTTTTTTTTTAATAAACAAAACATATAAAATAATGACAATCTGATGAGATATTATTATAAAAAAAAAAAAAAAACATTATTGACTAATTCTTCTAATAATTGCATCTCTTTGGCAACTTTTTTTTTTCATTCTACAAGTTGCATCCTTCTTGCAAACATAATCAGGTAGTCTTCCTGACTACTGCCGCAAAAATAAGCATCTGGTTGGTAATAATATAAATCATATTTATTAGCTATTAAAAAACACTTGCATTGTTTAAAAAATCAATTTAACTTTTTTGTTTTTATAACCTACGTGGCAATCGACATACGCCATCAAATAACTATTGCATCATCTATGTGCCATAGAAGCACGTGAAACTCACATAAATTTATTTCCTAACGTCCAGACAAATACTTAATCACGTGCGTTGTTTTGAAAGAATGCAACAAACTTAATAAGAAATACAATAAATAAATACACATCAGAAAGTAAATAAAAAGAACTATAATTACACCATTGTTTTTAAGATTTAAACACATTTTCATTTTCTTTTTTTATAAAATCACTAATAGTTGATACATCTGCTTTTTTATTTTAAACAAAATGTCTGTTTTCTATTGGTGGTTGTAAACAACTAATGATAGCTTATAAAGACATTTTTTGAGATTTCGGCAGTAGTAATTTACAGGATGTCAATAACAAACAATTTTGTTTATTATTACTATTCATAACGCATAGTAATAATAAATAAAATAAATAAATTTAAAAAATTGTAAATTTAAAAATGTTTTATAAAAGTGAGTTTTTACTTATCCATTTTTTACGGAAAAGGAAAGAAAAGTCAGGTGAGCATGCGTAGTTTAATTTTCAATTTTTACGAAACAAAAACTACCCGTGCTCACGTGATAACTTTCCAATTCCTATCCCATTCTTGTCGAAAAAACAATAAGTAGACTCACACCTTAATATTTGTAAAGATTTTACTGAGATTGTAACTAATATCGTTTGATGGATTTTTTTAAACAGGTAAACGACATCAGTGGAGCTACATTATAAGACTATAGTTTTTTTCCTGCTCCTGTCCATTTTTTAGTTTAAAAAATATAAAATGTAAATAATAATACGAAGATGACAAAAATCAACAAAATAAAAGGAATATATCCTAATCTATTTGCAAACTCAATACATTTATAGGACCTTGCAGGGTTCATCAAGGATCATAAATGCGAATTGTTAGAGAAATAAATAAAAATATACCTCGTTTTAATTTCATAACCAATTTTATATCGTTTCTATATGAAAAAACC